CATTATTTGCATTGATTTTTAATGATTTAGTTAAGTCTGCGAGGGACTCTTGGTATTGATTTAGCATGTAATATGTTATGTTTGTCCTCGAAGGCTTAACGCAATTGCATTAGCTGGCTCAAGTTCTATCGATCTATTTAAATCCGCAAGTGATTCGTGGAAGCGTTTCATTATGTAATTTATTTGTCCCCGAGATCTTAACGCAAATGAATTATTTTCCTCAATCTTTAATGATTCTGTTAAATCTTTAAGTGATTCGGCATAGTTTTTTAAACTATAATAAATTAATCCACGGCATCTCAGTGACTTTGCTTGATTTGGGTCAATATTTAATGCTTTATTCAGATCCTTTAAAGAATTTTTATGGTCATTGACCATATAATAAGCTTGCCCTCGAGTTGATAAAGCATCAACATTTTTCGGTTCAATGGCTAATAGCTTTGTTAAATTCTCTATTGATTCTTTGTATTTATTTAAATTATAATAAGATTGGCCTTTAACCAGGAGGGCAATTGTATTTTTTGAATCAATTTTTAATAAATTGGCCGAATCTTCAAGAGATTTTTTAAATTCACCTGATTTAAAATGAATTTGTCCTCGATAACTTAATGTAATTGCATCGTTCGGATTAATTTCCAGTGATTTAGTTAAATCTACCAGTGATTCTTCGAAACGATTTAAAATGTTATACGTTTGACTCCGAGTAATAGTATTATTAGAATCAAGCATTAACGATTTATTTAAATCCGAAAGAGATTCTTCATGGCGCCCTAACTTACAAAGCGTTTCTCCTCGAGACCTTAGAGTATCAGGGTCATTTGAATCCTTTTCTAATGATTTATTTAAATCTGTAAGTGATTCTTCATAGCGCTCTAGCATGTATAAAGTTTGCCCACGAGATTTTAGCGCGATGGCATTACCTGGCTCTATTTTTAATGATTCGGTTAAGTCTATGAGAGATTCTTCATAGCGGCCTAATATATAGTATATTTGTCCTCGAGATATTAACGAAGCTAAATCATTATCTATCATATCTAAAAATTTAGTCAAATCCTCAAGAGACTTTTCGTACTTTCTTTGTTTAAAATACGTTAAGCCTCTGAATTTCAACGCATCTGCATCATCAGGATTGATTTTTAATGATTTGCTTAACAAATCTAAAGATCTTTCATAGCTATTCGCCTCATAAAAAACTAATCCTTGAGCTTTATATTCTCTTGCATCGTCTAACCTTTGAGAAGAATTTGATCTGTTCAATATCCTTCTAAGACTACTTGAACTAGATTCTCTAAATATTTGTGCAGATGGCCCAACAGATAACAAATCAGGTGAACCGTTCCTGGTTAAAACAGGTATGAATCGTCGATTACGATTTGTAATAAACACTTCATCAACCGTTTCTTTTGATATTTTATCAAGAGTATCCAAAATTTCTTTTGTTGTTGGACGTTTCTGTGGATCAGTATCCCAGCATTTTTTATAAAGTTCAGAAAAATTAGATGGTGTTCCAGGAATTATATCTTCTCGGTATCCTTGCAATATTTGAACGCAAATAGCAACTCCATTAATAGCGCTCTCAAATGAGGCTGTTCCACTTGTAAGTTCCCAAAATATTATACCTAAACTATAAATATCTGATTTTTTTTGCAGGATTGATATGGCATTGTGGATCAATATATGCTGGCGCACCATGCGATGTTGCGAACGACGAGATAACGCTATCATTTAGTTTTCTTGCTAACCCAAAATCCGCAATCAAGAATTCTCCATCATTTATTAAAATATTTTTAGGATGCTAATAAATTATTGTAATCAATTTAAAAAATTTAAATAATTTATAAATAATTTCAAGTCAATTTTAAAAATTTAAATGCTTACTAAATCGCAATGAATTGTATTATTCTCATGCAAGCCTTTTAACCCAAGAGTAATTTTCTTTGCAATTCTAATAATGAAATTTTAAAAGCGCCCTCTTGCCATTTGCTTTGTAAGTATTGTCGCAAGTTTCCTCCATTGGCAAATTGTAGTACCAACATAAGATTTTCCGTATTAGGGTCTGAGATTATTAAATTATATATAGCTTAAATGTTATTTAAGAAATTTATAAGACATTTATTTATATATACAATATATATATTATTTTTTACAGTACCGATCGTAATCCCAAGGAATTGGTTAATATTAGGATGAAAGTTAATAGCACGCAGTTGTTTAAGCTATAACATTATAATTTATTAGGTGGAAATCAAACACTGAAAAAAGACAACTAATAATATATTACCTCATTAATAAAATCTCTAGTTGCTTCTTTAGTATTAAGGTTTTTCAATGCAATCTTTACCCCATAGTAGTCAGCTGAACTAATTAATCCAAACCCGCCTTTACAAAGTTAGCACCTGAAAATTAATTTTTTACTCGTATGTTAAAAAGTGTAATAAATAATTAAAAGAATTTTACCTTGTCCAATATGTTTTACATTTTCAAACTCAGAATATTTATAAAAGGCTATGTTACCCTTTTGTATTTCTTCTTCCAACCATTCAGAATATTTTTTTGCGCAAGACATTATCGGTTTTTGCTTATTATAGTCATTGTGAAGAAAAGAATATCACGGATTATTTTCATTATCACACATATTATATATGTAACTCGGTACAAAAAGATACTTCTTCTTGCCACATACACACTAGTACAAATTCAGCCAATTTTGCATACAGTTACTCGACATTGTAATACGTACTATGAAAAATCTTCGTATATGCGCCAATCAGACTTCTTCAAATCAAACCTTATTATTAAATAAAATTTTGCAAGTATTTTTTTTTTAAAGCACAGAAGGTGAAGGTGGTTTCGGGGATAATAAAGGTTTCAAATATTGGTGCAGTTAACTAGTTATTAGATTCAGTACAGAAATCAAATTTTCACTAGTTCTACTTAGCTGTATTGAATGTCGGGCTAATTAGAAGCTTAACTAACTGCCCGGCTTATTATTATGTGATGCTGAACTAGAGCAGTAGCCACTGAAGATCTATGTGGCGTAGCATCAATCAGAAATTATTGAGCCTAGGTGCCGCACAAAAAAGCGCAGATTTGATTAGCTAAGAGCGATGGTCAAAAAATTAGGCCGGAATTACTCGTAATTTTACTAATGAAATCGCAACCGCCTATTAAGCGAAAATTGTTCCTTGGCCAATTTTACCATAATGCGGGCTTATTTTATAAATTCTATTTTTGTATGAAAAAAATTAAAAAGTTAATTCCGGCCAGAAATTAGTAAACAATTATGTAATGCGGGCCAAAATTTTGGAAGACCCTCGGCCGTTAGCCAATCAAAATCGAGGATCTGCCGTGCATTTTTTGTTAGTCTGTTCTTATAAGATCCTCGATTTTGATTGGCTAACGGCCGAGGATCTTCAAAATTTTGGCCCGCGTTACATAATTGTTTATTAATTTCCGACCGGAATTAACTTTTTAATTTTTTCATTACAAAAATAGAAATTTTTAAAAAATAAGCCCGCATTATTGTAAAATTGGCCCAGGAACAATTTTCACTTAATAGGCGGCTGTGATTTCATTAGTAAAATTATAACCTAATTTTTTGATAGTCGCTCTTAGCACACATTTTTTGTGTGGCGCCTAGGTTCAATATGGCATTACATGCTGTGCAGTTATCTTGTTTATACATCGCTTTGATTAATAAATAATAAAATTTTCCTAATATTCTAAGATCAATTCACTAATACAATTGATCCGGGATATTAAAATAATCAAATATCTTATTTTTTTTTTTCTTTTAAAACAGAATAGCACAATTATAATATTTGTGAAAATAATAAAATCAAATCAGGGTATTTTACTCTATTTTATCCAACAGCTTACTACACTGGCGATCATAAATAATGCATCAAAAAAAATTTTTACCTAGATCACATTATTTCCCACAATTCCGGGTGTATCCTTTTATTTTTTTTTTTTTTTTCGTGAATGGCGTCGCTGTTTACTTGTAGAATTTTATTAAACATCTATACTGCCAATCTGAAAATAATCACGCATGTGTTATGAAACACGTGATGCATTATTTTTGCTTGTTTTTACCAAAGATCAGATAGCTTATATATACTATGTGACACATTTTATAAATAGATTTTCTTTGTCTAATTTTGCATTATGTGCAATGTTAGAATTAATTGATAATCAAAAAGCAAAAAAAAGAACCATACTACTCCTGCCCAAAGGGCACAAATTTTGCTCTTGCTACAAAAAGGATACACAATGAGGGCTATAGGCCAGGTTCGCCATATTGCCTCCTCTACTGTCTCACGAATCAAGAAAAGGTGGCTTGAGAACTGGGAGCTCCAAGATTTAGAAAGGGTTGGTCGCCCACCTTTGTTGGGTGAACTAATCCAAAGAAGAATAGTAAACCTCATTACCTCCTGTAAGTGCTTCACCGCCATTGAAGTGAGGGCCTACCTCGCAAAAAATGCAAGTATGGATATTTTGGTATCTACAATTTGCTGTATACTTTGTAGCCACGGGTTAGTGTCGGGTAAAAAAAAAAAACCATACCTGAGCGACAGTCATCAAAAAGCATGGCTCACTTTTGCAAAGAAGTATGAAAATTGGACTGTCGATGATTGGTCTAAAGTAATCTGGTCTGACGAATCTAGATTTAAAATTTTTGGGTCGGATGATAAGCAATACTATTGGAAGCATCACAGAGAACCATTAAACAAGTTTCATGTAAAGCCCACTGTAAAATATGAAGGTGGTTTAGTCATGATTTGGGGTGTTTTAGTGCCCATGGTGTCGGTAGCTATTGCAAGGTTAATAACATGATGGATGGCGACTTGTATCAGCAGATAATCTGCAAAAACCTGATGTGGATGATTAGGGATCAAGAATTTGAAGCTGGTGAGGTGACTTTTCAACAAGATGGAGCATCTTGTTATACAGTGACCTTGACAAAACGTTTGCTTAGGAGGAATAAGGTGAAGTTCTTTGATTGGCCCCCAATCCCCGATCTCAACCTGATCGAAACCTGTGGGACAAAATTGACTATCAATTAAGGGATCTCTCTGGACAAATTTCAAGTTTGCTAGATCTTTGGCAAAAGATTCAAGAGGTTTGGCAGGTAATTGATAATGAAACCTGCAAAAGGCTGGTCTGTTCAATGCCAGACTGTATTCATGCAGTAATTAGGGCTCGGGGAGGGTACACCCGATGGTGAAGATGGAGAGATTTTAAATAGAAAAAAAAATTATTTTTTTTATATAAAAAAAAATTTTTTGTTTTATAGCCATGTTGCTATAAAATTTTGTTTATTAAAATTTTTTGTTTTTTTTATTAATAATAATATTGGTATTGGCGAATAAAATAAAAAAAAAAGGATACATTCGGAATTGCATAAGATAATGTGACATAACAAAAAAAAAATTTTTTGATGCATTATTTATAATCGCCAGTATATGATTTGTCTGCAAAATAATAAAATTTTTATTGCTATAAGTTGTAGGATTAATCTATATCAGTTTATTTATTTGTTCAAGAAATTTAAAATCAACTAAGTTGAATTTCTTCAGAATTGAATTTCTTAGCCTGATCATAATTATTTGACTAACAAATCAATTATCTGCTTAATAACTTAGATTAAGTTTAAAAAAAAAGCTAAAAAAATAAAATAGCTACCATATAAGCGTGAAATAATAATGTACAGAGGTGTTATTTTGAATAATGCCCTAAATTAAGGCCATCCGTTATTTCGTGCTTATACAGGCAAGTAAATAGCAGTCTATGCAGAAATTTTCTGATGCTAAATCTACAATAGTTAATAAAATCCAACCTTAAATTATATAAAAAAAAATACAAATAAAATATAAAACATCAAAAATTTAAATTTCATAACAAATAGGTCAAGGTTTCAAATTCACTTCGGTTTTGTTGCCATAATAAATTGCTACTATATAAATTGTTCAATTACGTGGGTGGTATGATAAGTCTTGTCAGTAGATCAATATCTTGATTATTTTTAAAGATATGAGGTTGAGTCAATAGAAATCAAGCAAATATTTTTTAATAAGTTTTTTTAAAACTTTAAACAAGGATAACTTAACAAAA